GCCAGTGGGACCAAGCATAGATGCTGAGACCAGGTAGATGGCTTGAGCGAGCATCTGATATCTCTGCTTTCAGGCCTTCTTGTCTCCCTCATTATACACTTAAAGGTCACACTTCCAGAACCTCATGTGGGGAGTTAGGGGCCTCCTCTCAATGTGCCTTAGTTTGGCCTTATTATCAGGGAAAATCTGGGAGAAAAATTATGTCCTCACTAGTTGTCTCCCATCTGGAGCCTCAGGGTCCAGATTAATATATTGTAATAAAGCCTTAGTCAGCAATCTAAAAATGCTGAAGGGTTTTCATTATTATCTTGGAATTCTTCTTGGAGTGTTTCAGAATTGATAACCTTATGGCTGCCTTTCTAAATCCTGCCATGAGGCAAGTAATGCACAGGTTTCTGCTAGTTATTCCTCAGGAAAATTCTAATCCCAGTTGGGGTCCTGGTCAGGGACTGCTTCAATGTCAATCAGATGGGCAGGGAGGTCTGATGTACCTCATCAGCATAATTTCTAGCTTGCTCCTAAACTCACCTATGGTCCTCAGGCAGGAAGGTGTGGACAAGATCATATGAACACCATGGAAGGTCAAATTATATGATTGAGTCAGATATTGAAACCCTTTGATATATGTGATATGTCTTGAAGTATGAACCAACCCACTTTTCTGTCTGGGAAAGATCTGAAAAAGGAAAGGCCCATGAACCCAGGTTATACCATCTACCCCAGCCACCTCGTGTAGCAGACACAGAGATGTGGGTTGGGCAGTGGCAGCCTGTGAGTATGTGGCAGGAGGAGAGAAGCTGGAGGGGCCAAGAGGCCAGCTGTTGTGGTAGCTTCATCAGAAAGAGAACTGTGGCAAGGTGGGTGTCTCACCCACTGGGTCAAAGGAGGAGGAGTCCTGGGGAGAATCTTCTGTCCCTTTGGAAGAAGGTGTAGGGGAGGTGAGGGCTGAGAGGACTTGTGTGGGAGAGCAAGAGCTGGAGAGAGAGGGATTAGGACATGGAAAGGAGAAGGCCTGGCCATATGACATCTCTTTCCATTTTCCCGAACACTCACAATAGCTTAAGGGATCCCTGATAACATTGGGCTCTAGAGTGCCCTCAAGTGGCAATTAAGAGTCATTATTCAAAGGATATTGAAGCCAGATCTGATTGCACAAGCAGATAAGTTTTGAGGGGTTTAGATCTGGGGTGAGAGAGACCCTAGGTTAGCTAGAGGACTCTGGGAGGGAATGGATGAGGAGCAACCCATGAGACATAGGGTGTGAATTTAAACGTGGGCCATCCCCCAGTCTCGAGTATCACCTAGTGGAGAGCATGGTGATGCTCCAGTGGTTGTCAACCCCGCTGGGTAAGCATAAGACCAGGATCCCAGAGAGGTACTTGGGACCCAGCCAGGACAATGTAGTAGGGGCAAAAGCCTGTATAAGGTACAGATACCCATAGATGGGGGAAAAGTCTATAGAGGTTAACCCAAGGTTGAGAGGTCGTCTCACCAGGAACAGCTCCCAGTCATCCTCTGTGGTTTTGTCTCAAAACCCAGGACCCAAATGAATGACCACTTATACACTGAGTTGATAGGAGGGATCAGCAGTAGCTGTGAATGTTGTGCCTGGGGTGCCCCCAACCACATAGAGTGCCAGACGAACAACTGTCACTTTCCAGGATATGTGGGTCCTTTAGGTTGACTGGAGATGAACTGTCTGGTGGTGGGTGCAGCGAGGGCCTGTGGCAGAATGGAGAAGCGGGTTCCATGATGGAATCCAGATCGGGGCCCCGGGGAAACTCCGTGAACCTCAAAGGGGAGATTGGGCACACCAGGGAACCCGATCTTGGGAGGCTCAGGAATCAGAGCCAGGTGGGTCCTAATATGGGTGGTTAGGGTTGGGTGGGAAAGCAAAAGTTTTTCCTTAAAATGGCTGTGGTCACTTAAAATGGCCATCCAGATACTAAGCAAGAATCTGATACTTCCCAAGCCTGTTTGCTGAGCCAATCCCCCCCAAACACCCTTTACCTTGTAGCGGAACCAAAGCGGGCTTCTCTGTCCCTGTCCCCAAGGGTAGTATAAGGTTTTGGGAGTCTCTTGTGTCTCTAACAACTCCCTTCCAACGTTTCTTTTCATTTTAGTACCTATTATAATGCCAGATTCATGGGACCCCACTAGACCTCCAGGAGCCAAATCTGATGCAATCACACAGGAATCTTTATTACAAGCTGGAGCCTGGACTCAGAACCATTTAGGATGCAGCAGTCCCAGGGAGTGAGTCCTGGCCCTTAATTCAGTGATGATTTACAGTTTTTTGGGGGATACTCTATGCATCACAACATCACACAGCAAATCATTTCACACCGTGGGAAAATCAAACAAAAGCTCTTAACATTGATTAGCACATTCTCTGGTGGGAACAAGTTGGGTAAGGGTGATTGGTTAGTTCAAGAGCTGGATACATTTGAACTGATTGGTTTAAGCTGTGAGGCGTGTATGCACTAAACTACATGGTTTGCTAACATGTCATCAATCACCAAAACTACTGTGAGGGTCACCTGGCATTTCAGATATGTTCCCTGTCTCCCTCTGATTGGTTGTTGCTATGGTCTGAAATTAGGTCTCAAGCATTCTTTGGTCTTGCATTGCTGAGTCAAGGCTATCTGGTGACTGCAGTTAGGGGTAGCTATTTGCCTAGAAATGCTGGATCATTCTCCCCCCCTCCCACCACCACCCTGCTTTGGACAGGCCCTGTTCTGAGGTAGAGGCTGGTTATTCGAAAAATTGAGTCATATCAATTTCTCACTATAAGGTTCTTGCTTAGCACCTGGATGGCCATCTTAAATGACACCTAATATATTAAGGAGAACATTTCACTTTCCTGCCCAAGGGCATTTGAGAAAGGCTCATCACTCCTCCATACCAACCCAACCCTTAACCATCTGCATGAGGACCCACTGGGCTCTGATTCCTGATCCTCCCTCATAAAAGTCGCAGAACTGAAGCCTGTTCTGCCCCTCTCCCCTATAGAGAGATGGCCTTTACTTGTCAAGTGTGAATAATCAACTCTCGTGTGTATCTCTGCCTGGTCTCTGTCTTTCATTACTTGCTTATCTCTCTCTCTTTCTTCACTTTGCCTAACTCCCAATCTGGGGTTTTTGTTGTTTTTGGAAAAGAATCTTTAAGAACATCAATTTTACATGCCTGTGCATACCAATTAAAAAATGTATTCGATTGCTTTCATTTGGGTTCTGGTTCTTTGTAAAGTACTCCTCACAGAGACAATTTTCTTCAAATTAAAACTTCCCCCTGGAGTCACATCAATATTGGATTTATTCATTTATTTATTTACATGCTTTTGTGGTTCTGGGGATGGAACCCAGGTCCTTCCACATGCTAAGCAAGTGTCTACAACTGAGCTATGTCCCCAGGCCCTCAGTTAATTTTTATGAAGTTCATTCATTTCTGTACAAAAGCATGGGTTCTGGGCCCCTAGATTGTACAGGTGAAATTGGCCAGTGTTCCAGAAGGGGACCTAGGCTCTTTTGATGCAGATGAACAAAGGAATGTGCACCTTCCAGTAGCACTCCAGAGAGTGGAACCCAGTCCCCTTCTAACCTGGCCACGCTTACACACCAGTTCCTGTTTGTCATGACATCCTACAGTTGTGGGCTGTCTCATAGCACAAATGAACCTACAGTGAAAAGATGAGGAATTCAAAGAGCAGCCTGGGTGCTTTATCCCTAGGGCTGTGTGGGGACACATGCAGCTCTCAGTCCTTATACAATCCAAGGAGTCTGGGCACACCAGAATATCTTCAAGTCCCTTTTTGTTCATGAAAACCCTTAAAACCACCAGTGATGACACATCTCATATTGCAGATCTTCCTTGCCTTTATTTGATCCTAGAATCCAGCAGCAGAGCAGAATGAATGCTGTTCAGAACACCCACCCCACCCACCACACATGCAAGTTGGACCTAGAGCCAGAAGAAAAAAAGTGTCATAAAGAGCTGTGAGGCACACAGATCCCTGCGTGGGGACAGATGGGCTGGCTGTGTAGGACCTGGACTCTGCTACCTGTTCCAAGAGTGAGCTGCAGTCTGCTTACACATCCAACTGGGTTCTAGTTCACTGTGTATGGAGAAGCCTTCAGGCCCAAATGAGAACACGTACACAGGCAGCTTTAGGATGACTCAAAAGAAGATTGGCTGGGCCTCCTTCTCCTCCTTGGATGGGAAGCTAAGGCTAAGGTCACTGCATAATCCCACCAGCCTGAGTCCTCAGCAGGAGTCGTCATTTAGGGGGTCTTGGTCTAAGACCAGGCAGCACAGGCTGGGCCACCCTTTTGCCCACAGCCACCTCATCCTTACTCATCCTCTGATCATCTGCTGATTGAAAGCCTCGAGTCCCTGGGTAGGGAGAGATGGGAAGTGTTAGGGGAGGATCTGTCAGTTATGAGCAGCCTTCTCCCCCACCAGAAGGTGGTAATTTATAAAGTTTAATTTAGACACATTTGCAAGTATGATCTACCTATATAATTCTACTATTTTGATGAGAGCTAATTTGGATGGTTTCATTGGCCATGATTACATGTTTCAGGAAAGACTTTGTAGCAGCATGATGGGCAAGATTTTGTGAGGCCCAGAGACCCTATTTTATTCTCATTGCATCCAAAGACCAAGACACCAAGTTTCTAGGCCTATGTGGAGACCAACAAGGATGGGTGAACCTTGAGTGTCTGGGTGGCACTGAGGTCGCCTAAGAAGGGCTTTTTTGAAATTTTACTGTCCACTTAGAATGCTCCAGGCCTCCTGTGTTCTTCTACATGGATTATGCCACAGTGTAGCTACAGATAATGAACTGATTTCAGTTGGATGCTTTGAGTTCCTGGGAATGAACCTCATTGATCACCAAGTACTTAGTGGTATTTCTCCATCAGCCCCTGGAGAATTCCAGTGTCAAAATCAGAAAACTAGGTAAAACCATCATGGAAGATGTCAGAGGACTAATCTTGAGATTCCGTTCATTTCAGACTATTTATTTATGCACCATCCATGAAACAAAATAGTTTCTTCATGTGTGCATGAAGCCTAAATCCCATTCTAAAAATCCAGGCCCCTTGTGATGACTCTATACAGACACATATGGCTCTATACAGAGGTTCCAATCTTTAGGGGCTTCCTCCCAATGTAGCCCCCAGCATCTGATTCCTTTCCCCATCCACACTTCAGACAGTGTCTGAAATGCTGGGCTCTGAGTTTCCTTCATGATCTCTCTACATCCTGGTTATATATCCAGTTGCGTAGAGGGCAGCTTTTCATACACACTCAACTAGGCAGCTGTTGGACAGAAACAGTGATTGAGGCCCCGGTTGTAGATGAACATGTGGCCACATTGAGGACAGGGCAAAGTATAGAAAATAAGGACCTGTGGCTGCCTAAAGTCCTTCAAAAGTTCTGTGAGCTCAGCACAGAGTTGGGAACATCTCCCTGGGTGGATGGCACCCTGGGCATCATAGCTCTCCAGAGGGGCAGGGTATAGCTCTACACACAACTTGCTCAGCGTGGCAGTGTGACAGAGCAGGTCCCTGAGGACTGACATGGAGATGCGATTCTGGAAAAAGCACAAGGCCCTGAGCTGTGAGCAGCGGCTCAGGGCAGGAAGGATGGCTTGGAGCTGGGAGTCTGTGATCTCACAGTCTTCCAAGTCCAGGCTATTCAGGGTGGCTGCAACAGTCTCCAGCAGAATTTTGAGGGGCTCCAGACTAAAATTGGTCAGTTTGATGCCCCTTAGATCCAGGCATCTGAGCTGGCTGGTATTTGGGCATCGGGAAAGATAATTCCAATCCAAATCTGAGAGTGGGCAGTTGGATATTGAGAGGGTCTCCAGAGGTGTCTTCAGGTGCCTAAGGAGGAACCAGGCAGTTAGTTCTGACGGAGAAGATGAATTAGCCCAAACCCAGGGTCACTGTGACCTTCTGAACACGGTTGACATTTTGTAGAATCTGCTCATTCAGATCACTCCATTTCAACCTGAAACTTTCACCACTACTTGTGTCCCCAGGTGGGTCCTCCATCTCTATGAATGTCACCCTCAATGACAAGCAGAAAGCCACATATCTAGCCCCAGGAAGTCAGGAAGAGTCATGTGCCAAAGGCAAATCCAGGAAAGCTGTGTCCAAACACACTGGGGTTAACCCCTGCAGGGCTCCCTCCCTGCCCCTCAGCAAGGTCTCCCTCCTGCTCTTCACTCACAACCCCGAGTCCTCACCTGGAGCTCAGACCTGCCTTCCCCAGGAGGGCATTAGAAGTGGGCTCCTCTGCTCCCAGATGAGGACAACAGGGCTTCCTTGTTGAACAGGTACACGTGTGGGGGCGTCCCTCCTTCAAAGTCCTCACCTCTACCCTGCTTTGTTCTCCTGTCGCTGGACAGGGCTCCCAGGGAAGGAACCTCACACCCACCACACTAAATCCTGTCCCCACCAGCTGGCTTCCCAGCATGATGTCACTTCCCAGACCATGAACCCTGGTTTAGCCCTATGCTCTAACCCAGGTTAGGAGATGGAGCTTCAGGATACAACAGGAACAGATGATGGGTTATTTACCTTCCAGTGCCTTCTTCACCACGAGAGGGTCAGTGGGTGGCACACAGTAGGTGCCCTTTCATATTTACTGATACTGCTCTGCAGAGGAAGCTCATCCCCCTTACTCACCCCAGCACCTGCTCCAGGTGGCCCTCGAGGAGGAGGACAGCATCCACACAGAACTTCCTCAGGCAGTCCATCCTGAGGAACTGCGAAGTGAGCTTGGCGAGCAGCCGCTTCTGCTCCTCTGGGGAGGTGTGGGCAGGTACGCAGACCTGGGAGACAAGCAGCTTCCTCAGGTTCTTCATCTGGCCCAAGAAAGGCGCACAAGCAACCAAGGTAGAGGGCACCCAGGTGCAGTGCACTTCCACCTTCTGCACAGAGTCCAGCTGCAGTAGTCTCAGGACCTTCCTGGTGTGGCAGGTGGGTTCCCCAAAGATCTTCAGCCTCTTGCAACACAGGTGCAGCCTGTCCCTTCTCTGTGTGACCCACAGGAACAAGAGAGTCAGGAATTCATTCAGGGGCCCTTCTGTGAGGCACAAGTCTATGAATATCTTCAAGGGCAGCTTAGCTGCCATTGCTGAACCAAGTTTCAATGTTCGATTCTTCTTCATGCCCTCTGGTGAGGAGGCATCGACCATGGCTCCAGACCAAGTCCTCCAGAAGTTCCGTGGAGCCCTCTGCAAATCCAGCACCTGCAGTTTCCACCTCCTGCGGGGACCACAGCAGAGTCTCAGCCCTGAGGCCCCTTCCTTCCCCTCTCAGCTGCTGCTCCCTGCTCCACCTCTTCCTTCTTTCTCAGTATTCTCCATCTACCTCCCTCCAATCCAGCCTGGTGCCCCTACTTGTACAGACTGGGGCAGGGGCAGGTACAGTCTCATTCAGGGGTCAGCACAGCTGCCACAAGCACCTCCACATCTGGAAGCCTTTCCCAGATGGGGCTCAGCATGGCCACGGCCTCTCCACCCCTCCTTGCTGGCAGCACAGGAAGCCTGTGGAGCACACTTCAGCACCCACTCTCCCTGCCTATACCCATCCCTTCCCTGGCACCGAGGGTGCTCCCTTCCAGGCCACCTGGGTCCCCCTCACC